GTCCTCTTGTTGGATTTTTCCTTTGATGAGAATATAGTGGCCCTCCTTATCTTTTTTGATTAACTTGGGTTGAAAGTCTATTTTATTAGATATTAGGATGGCTACTCCAGCTTGTTTTCTGGAACCATTTGCTTGAAAAACATTTTTCCAGCCCTTTACTCTGAGGTAGTGTTTATCTTTGTTGCATAGGTGTGTTTCTTGGATGCAACAGAATGTTGGGTCCTGTTTCCGTAACCATTCTGTTAGCCTGTGTCTTTTTATTGGTGAGTTGAGTCCATTAATATTGATAGATAATATTGACCAATGCATGTTAGTTCCTTTTGTAATGGAGTCGATGATCTTACCTTGTTTCATTGCTTGTTTTCTTTTCATTTTTGTTGGGACATTATCTGTATGCCCTGTTTTCTTGGGTGAATTCGTTTTCGTTGGATTGGAGTTTTCCTTCTAGTATCTTCTGTAGGGTTGGTTTGCTGTATAGATATTGCGTAAATTTAGTTTTGTCATGGAATATTTTGTTTTCTCCATCTATGTTGATTGAAAGCTTTGCAGGGTATAGTAGTCTGGGTTGACATTTGTGATCTCTTAGAGTCTCCATGATGCTTGCCCAGGCCCTTCTGGCTTTCATAGTTTCTGATGAGAAGTCTGGTGTGATTCTGATAGGTCTACCTTCATATGTTACTTGGCCTTTTTCCCTTGCTGCTTTTAATATCTTTTCTTTGTTCTGTAGATTTAGTGTTTTGACTATGATGTGACGTGATGTGTTTCTTTTCTGGTCTAGTCTATTTGGTGTTCTGTAGGCCTCTTGTATATTTATGGACATCTCTTTCTTTAAGTTGGGAAAATTTTCTTCTATGATTTTTTTGAAAATATTTTCTGGACCTTGGAGCCTGGAGTCTTCTTTTTCATCAATTCCTTTTATTCTTAGATTTTGTCTTTTCATAGCATCCTTGATTTCTTGGATATTTTGTGATTGGAATTTTTCTGATTTTACTTTTTCTTTGAGAGAAGTATCAATTTCTGCAAGTGTGTCTTCAGCTCCAGAGATTCTCTCTTCCATCTCTTGTATTCTGTTGGTGATGCTTACTTTTGTGGTTCCTGATCTTTTCTCTAAGTTCTCCAGCTCAAGAGTTTTCTCACTTTGTGTTTTCTTTATTGATTCTAATTCTGTTTTCATGCCTTGCACCATTTCTTTTATGTGTTTGAATTTGGATTCCTGTCTCTCTACGATGGACTCTATTTCTTTGTTCATTTCCTTTTTGTATGCCACTAATTTTTTCTCTACTTGTGCCTCTATTTGTTTGGCTATGTTTGCCTGTGTTTCTTTAAGGGTTTTGTCTATTTCTTCTTTCTTTACCTCCAATTGACTGGCCATCTCTTTGAAAGATTTGTTCATTTCCTCCTTATGAGCCTCAAATAATTGAGCAAGCATGGCTTTAAGGTCATTTTCCTGTGCTTCTGATGAATTGGAGTATCCATCGATTTTGGGGTTTGCTGGTGAAGTCATGATGTCCTGATTTATGTTGGAAGTGTTCTTTCGCCTACCCCTGGCCATTGGCTTATCTGAGACCTTCCCTGTTTGTTTTTGGATTCTGCCGATCAGACTGGTACTGTCTCTCTCTCGAGTCTGGAGAATTCTTCAGGAAGTTGAGAGAGGTCCCGTGTCCTTAGCGTATGCTGAGGACTAGCTGTACCTGTGGGAGGAAAGTACGCAGGCGCAAACAGAGGCAAATGCAAGCGTGCGTGCGTGTGTGTGTATATGTGTGTGTGTGTGTGTAAGTGGGTATGGGCGTGTGTCTCGAGGGACAGAGTGATGGCTAATGTTGAACCCTTGAGTGTGTGGGAGGGGCTCTGCAATGTATATGTCGCAGGCGCTAGTGATGATCGCAGCGCAATTTCTGGCATTAACTGCCTTAACTCCTCAATTAGACTCACAGAGCAGGAACTTCAATGTTCCAAGTGCCCCTCTGTTTCCCAAAGTGGGTATATGGGTAGGAGGGGGTTCGATGCCTGGCTTCTGTTTTAGAAGAAGCCAGGATCAGTGGAGCTGCAGATTCTCAAGGGTGCACTCACTTACAGGCAGGACACTTGGCAGAGATAGGCGTATCTGGGCTGTCTGCTCTCTGGTTTGGCCCTGCTTCTTTGATGTGCTCTGCCAGTTCCGTGCTGCTGTCACTGCCAGGTTATGAGGTCTTGCTGCAGCTGGAGATTTCAGGGTGGTCACGTCAGTGGGAATCGGGGTAACTAGCCTTTCTGTTCTCTGGTTTGGCCCTGGTTAGTCTTAAACTGGAGGGCTGATGTGCCCCGCCAGCTCAGTGCTGCTCTGCCGCCAGGTTAGAAAGTCCCGCTGTAACTGGAGACTGGGTTGCTAGTGCAGATGCTTTCTGGGAAGTCCTGGGGTCTCTTTACTGTGCTCTCCAAGCTTTGGAGGCCCAGCGCCTGGTGTGTCTAGCTTGTATGGCGTTTCTGTCTGGTTTTGGTGAGTATATAGCGTATTCTCTGTCACTGTGGTATTGGGCGGGCCGTACTGTCAGTGATAGCGATCCTGCGGAGCTAGTATGGCGTCTAGCAGACTCGGGCCCTGGGAGGATGGTGCAGCTGCCGCGCGTGAATCTGGGGCTCCGAGACACAGTACTGCTGGCCTTTGCCGATAAAGGACTTGGGGCTCAGCCTCAGTGGCTGCAGGCCCCAGGCAGTTAGGTCTGCGCTGAGAAAGGCGAGTCCGCTGTGCCGAGGAGGAGGGAGGTCTGGGGGGAGGGGAGTGCCGAGAAATCAAAGGATCGTTTCTCACCTTCCCCAAACAAGTCCCTGGGTGACCCGAGACCAAGGTTTTCACCTCCGGCGATGTTCCCTGTTGTTTAGAAAGTCTCTCCGTTGTTTCCCTGGCTTCAGAAGTTCTTCCACTCATCAACTCAGAACTTTTTCTCTTCCACAGCTTGGAAACTGTGTGTGCTAGTCGCCATCTTGGCTCCGCCCCCCGAGAACCTGGGTTTTATTTTATTCATTTTATGCTACTTCTAGATGCTGGAAACAATTGCATTCATTGACTTACAGCTCTCATTTCCATTTATGAAGTCGCTGAATTGACTTCTTTCTCTACTCATATCACTTTAATATTGGTATTTCTTTTTACTCTGCTAAGAACTATTGTGATTCTATTGGGACCACTCAGACAACACAGAATAATTTACCCATTTTAAGAGCAAATGGTTTTCAATCTTAGTTGTAACTGACACTCTAATTCTCCTAGTCAGAAAACATAACACATAAATTTGAGAGATTCAAATAGTACTATCTCTAGTAAGCCATCATTCACCTTGCTGTGGATATAAGTAAATATTTCCCTAAACAAATTATGAATGAAAAAGAAAACAGTAATTGATAGCCTTCATCATCAGTTAATGGGAAAATCATAATTAAAACTATATTGTCATGCCATTTTTTACTGTCTAAAATGATTATAATGAAAAAAGACATTATCAAGTATAGACAGGCACATAAACAAATTAGACTTCTAATTCACTGATAGAAGAAATATGAAATCATGCAATCATTTTGACAAATACTATGGGAATACCTCCAAATGTTACACACAGCATTCTCAAGATTTAACAATACCTCTATGTGATGTATTTTGAGAATGTTAAATGTATATCTCCACACAAATTTCCCCTGAATGTTTAGAACAACATCATAATATCTTAAATGGAAAAACATCAAGTATGAAGCCAGAATTGTACAACAGTTCATAAAATTCTAGGCCCTAATTTAGGTCACAAACATATATGGTGTCCTAAAACGTAATTTGCTGGAAGAACACAAAAATTTGGCAACAAAGCTTCTGAATATGCAATGAACCAAAACTAAATGAAAGCTAAATGTGTAACTAACCCAAGGTTTTTCTTGCAGCCCTAGTCTGTGCTGCAGCACAAATCTTTACCACAACCTTGCTTCAGAGTATATAAAAAGCATACTTTTTATTGTATATGCATCATGTGACATAACAACAGTGCACTATGCACGAAACACATGGACTCAGACTTGAAACCACTGTATGGTTTTATGCACATTCTTTGTACTATAGACACAAATTTTTCTTTTTTCCTATATTATTATTATTTACAATTTATTCATATTGTATCTCTCCCTCATCTCCTCTTGGTCCCACCCTCCCTCCCTCTTCCTCCCCTATGTCCTTCACCCCCAATCCACTGACAGTGGAAATCATCCTCCCCTACTGTCTGACCCAAGCCTATCAAGTCAAAGTTTTCTATTGTTATAGAAATTTAATTGTAGAAAATGAAGAATTTTGATATATAAATATTAAATTTGTATATATAATATATACTTAGGGTCACATAAAACTTGCTCAGGCAAAGAAAGGAGATGAATAGAGAATCCTGAAGAAATCTGTTTTAGAATGCCTAGAAAAAATGATATCAGAGTGGCTAGTCATAATTAAAATAACCCTAGAAACATAGGAATTGGCTTGGTGTCAATAGGACTGTCATACTGTCCACATTTTTTGTTTGTTTTTCCTCAACATAATAAGTTGCAAACTGGGTAACTAGTACCCATTTCAAATTTCAAATTTTGAATTGATCTGTGATTGTTCCACAAAATCCTTCCTGAATGGGAATAATACATTTGTTCTGTGCATTTTGATGGTACTACATTAGAGAGCCTATTCAACACTCTACTTCTTAAGTAATGCATCTTTCTATGTATGTCTTATAATTCCTTAATACAATAAAACTGTTTAAGTAGCAATAACTATTTCACATTGCACTTAAGAATTACATGCTTTTACTGGCACACTGAAGACACCTAACAAAAAGAATTATTGATTCTCTATGACTACATTTATAATTTTAAGCCATACAAGACACACTCATAAAGACTAGTAGATCAAATATGGATTTTAATTTTTTGTGTAATATTTTAGCAAAAAAAAAAATTAGCCAAAGTGCTATAAATGAAAGTCAAAGCATAAGCTTGCTTACCTGAAAACATCCTTCTTCAATTTTGCCCCTTTCAGGATACATTTTAAAGTGTGAAGTTCTTTGAAAATGATATATCACAGGGAGTGATATGGAATGATTTCTTATAGCACACAGAATATCTGAATGTTCACCCATGTAACAAGGTGCAAAAGTCAGTACTTTTCCTGGATCAAACTGTAATAAGACAGGAAGTCCAGAGCCTGTCAGTGCTAACTCCACATTTTGAAGTTGATTACCTAGAAAAACAATAGTAACTATTGAACACAGTGAGGAGTGTTTGGAGAATCAAAAATCTATTTTTTAGCCCACATGGTATCACTTTTAATAAAAACATGATGATAAATGGGAAAAATCATTCAAACTTCAACAAAACCATTGACTACCTTCACTGTGCTACACATAAGGAAAAGTAGAGAGAGAGAGAATACAAAGCCTTACAGTTATTGCTTTAGGTAGCGATATTCAAACAGTTCACTTTTATATAACATAACGTTTGGGCAAACAATAAAAGGAAATGAATGTCTACGAGAAATGTATTCCAAGAAGAAAGAACAAAGTCAAGCACTCTAAAGTAGAAATGTGCTTCTCATGTTCAAAAAGCCATAAAGATCAGGGCACAGTGGTACACACCTGTAATCCCAGCACTCAGGGAGGTGGAGGCAGGCTGATCTTTGTGACTCTGAGGCCAGCCTGGTCTACAAAGTGAGTACAGAAGAGCCAAGACTACACAGAGAAACCCTACCTCAAACAAAACAAAACAAAAAGCCACAATTAACCAGATTTGATTATTTCAGTGGAATTGTCAAAATATGATCAGAAATAGCCAAGGTTATAGATACACTCTTTTTTAATTATTAAATTTTTATTGTTTATATTTATTACAGTTTATTTACTTTGTATCCCACCTCTAGCCTTCTCTCTTATTCCCTCCAAATCCCACACTCCCTCCCTCATCTCCTCCCTGCCCCTTTCCAATTCCACTGATAGTGGAGGGCCTCCTTCCCTTCCATCTGACCCTAGCTTATCAGGTCTCTTCAGGACTGGCTTCAATGCCCTCCTCTGTGGCCTAGCAAGGCTGTTTCTCCCTCAGGGGGCAAGGGGAGCTCAAAGAGCCAGACATTGAGTTCATGTGAGAAACACCCCCTGTTCTTCTTATTAGGGTAACCCACTTGGATACTGAGCTGCCATGGGCTACATCCGATCAGGGGTTCTAGGTTATATCTATGCATGGTCTTTGGTTGGAGAAATAGTCTCATAAAAGACCCCTGTGCCCAGATATATTTGGTCCTTGTGGAGCTGCTCTTCTCTCCAGGCCATACTAACTCCCCCTTTTTTCATATGATTCCCTGCACTCTGCCCTAAGTTTGGTTATGAGTCTCAGTATCTGCTTTGATACACTGCTAGGTAGAGTCTTTTAGAGGCCCTCAGTGGTAGTTGTTACTATTATCATAGTTGTTACTGTGGTACAGGTACTGTTACTGTAACTGTCCTGTTACTGGTTTTCTCTTACACACTTAAGGGTAAATAATCTTTGCCCATATATTGAGTGGAAGACAGGAAAATGAACAAATGTTAAATGATAACACTAAGGTTTTTGGATTTTTTTCTTGTGATAATTATTTGTTTGTTTGTGTGTTTTAGTGTGTGTAAGCAACTGAAAGGATAGAAGGAAAGAAGGACATCCCCTATCAGTGGAGTGGGTGAAGGGCATGGGTGGAGAAGAGGGAGGGAGAAGGGGATTGGGAAAGGAAGAGGGAGGGAGCTACAGATGGAATACAAAGGCAATAAACTGTAATAAATATATATATATATATATATATAGAAAGAAAGAAAGAAAGAAAGAAAGAAAGAAAGAAAGAAAGAAAGAAAGAAAGAAAGAAAGAAAGAAAGAAAG